GACCTAGCGGCCAGAGGACCACGCAGTGGGTGTGCGGTAGAGGAGACTCCAGCCCCAGATCAGGATCCAGTAGCTGTCATCTTGGTCCTTCCCCACCCTGAGACTCACATGTCTATCTTCACAGCGATTCCCGAATGTAAACCAGAATTAGTCTGAATCAGAAGCACCAGCACCAGTTTTAGCTCTGTAAAATACAGGAGATGCCCAAGGAGAATCAGCCAGTTTCAGTCCTTCTGAAAAACAACATCTGCACATAGGTCTGGAAGTATCAACTGAACTTCTGTTGTAGAGAAAAGGTCCTCTCCTTCCCTTCCTGGATTTTGTTTTACTTTGTTCTCAGCCTCGGAGCAGCAGTCCACAGTGAGTGCATGGCTAAGAATAATCGCACCTCAGTAACTGAGTTCATCCTCATGGGCTTTACTGACCACCCCAGCCTGGAGACGCCCCTCTTCCTGGTGTTTCTCAGTTGCTATCTTGTCACCCTTCTGGGGAATGTGGGGATGATTATTCTCATCCAAGTGGACACCCAGCTCCACACCCCGATGTACTTCTTCCTGAGCCACCTCGCCCTGCTGGACGCCTGCTACACCTCAGTCATTACCCCTCAGCTCCTGGCCACACTGGCCATGGGCAAAGCAGTCATCTCCTATGGCCGCTGTGCTGCCCAGTTCTTTTTTTTCACCCTCTGTGGAGGTACAGAGTGCTTCCTGCTGGCCGTGATGGCCTATGACCGCTATGTTGCTGTTAGCAACCCGCTGCTCTATACCGTGGCCATGAAGCCCAGAATCTGCTGGAGTTTGGTGATGGGAGCCTATGTCTGTGGGGTGTCGGGGTCCACCCTGCGAACCACGTGCACCTTCTCCCTCTCCTTCTGTGAGGACAACCGGATCAACTTCTTCTTCTGTGACCTCCCACCCCTGCTGAAGCTTGCCTGCAGTGACACAACAAACGCTGAGATCAGCATTGTCGTCTTCGGCAACTTTGTGATTTTGGCCAATGCCTTGGTCATCCTGATCTCCTACCTGCTCATCGTCAAGGCCATCTTGAAGGTGAAGTCTTTAGGAGGCAGGACCAAGACTTTCTCCACATGTGCCTCCCACCTCACCGCTGTGGCCCTTTTCTTTGGGACCCTCACTTTCATGTACATACGGAGCAGCCCAGGCAAATCCCTGGAGGAAGACAAGGTTGTGTCTGTCTTTTACACTGTGGTCATCCCCATGCTGAACCCTCTCATCTACAGCCTGAGAAACAAGGATGTGAAATCTGCCTTCAGGAAGGTCACTGGTAGATTCCAGGTGTCCCAGAGTGTGTAGACCTGAGGGAAAAGCCCTCTTGAGGAGACTTTCCCAAAAGTACGTAAGGTGGCTTGGTTCATCTGGAAAACATCAGTATAATATTAAACAGGGAACTGCAAAGCCTATATATTATCAGTTGGAACGACAATTTGTTCTTATATCTATACATCCTAATAGGCACCCTCACCAGGTGTATCCTATATCCACAAACAGAGAGAAGGCAGACATGAGAAAAGTCACAAATGTGGTGAAATATATACCCAATGATTCCATATAGTACTTCATTCTTGTCCTTCTTTCCCACTTCTTGTCCATTTCTGGGCACTCAGCAGTGTCCTGCTGCTCTTGATATCATCACTTACAGAATCTGAGGCCTCAGGGGTCTTGAATTTATTTCACTATCCCCCAGGGGTTCCTTTTCTTTTCATCTTCCCTCCCATCAAATTCTTGTGTTCTTTGTGTCCCAGATTATAGGGGATTATATCTGGGCATCCCTATGAATGCGCCAATTAGTCCTCTTTTTTCCCTCATAGTATGTAAGTGAATTACCATTTCAGTTACCCAGGAATATTGTGCAGACAACAACTGGATCTCAAATTGGCTGAAGAAATATGTTCGAGAAACAGGCCTCCTCTTCATTATTACTAGATGTTCCTCCACATTACACTGTCTTCCTTCTTGTTCATGTCAGAATAACAGAATTTGGAAATTGCCTTTCCACTTGATAACTCACTAGCTTTGCAGTTCCTGACTTATTGCTATGCTGATACCTTAAAAATGATCTAAGCCACCTAGCCTTTGGGAAAATCTCTTGCATGGCCATGTCTAGTTTCTTCAGGAGATAGTGGATTTCTTCTTCTCCTCATCCTATTGCCCACATCATGAGCAGTTCTCAACTACCAAGCATCCTGTTTCAAGGGACAGCAATGTCACAGAGCGTGGATGGATACAGAGAGATAGCTGAAGTACTTATTGCTTTCTCTAGTGATGATTTGATTGGAGGAAGTAACCATGATACCTGCACTATGCTGCAAGACTCTTGAGAGCAGAGGCTTTGTTCCTTCATTTCTGGTCTAAAGTCTAGAACAGCTGAGCTTTCAATAATAGCTTTTGAGAAAATGTGTATGTTACATGCCTGTTTCCATTTGACTTTCATGGCAACTCAAGACAAATGAGGGAAGTGCAGTTAAATATAAAGCTCCCATTTTGCAATGAAGAAAATGTCTCGTCATGACTCAGAGTGTACTTGGAGTACGCAGCAGTAGGAGGCATGCAGTCAAGCATGGAGTCAGGCTTGAATCTAAATCCTAATTTTACCTCTAATACAGTGGGTACATTTGGGTAAATTCTCAGGTCTGAAGCAAGTATTACAATTCCTAATTCAAGATGTTGTAAAAAATTAAATAAGATGACAAATAAAAAATTGACTAGCATCAGTCAGATTTACAGTGTAGATTGTTCTTTCTCTTTTCTCTTACTTTCTGACATCAGTCCTGGGCCTTGTGACAATTCCAAGGCCATTGACAAAGGTGAAAATGATTATGAGCCAATGATGGTAAAGATGATGAACTGAAGAATATCAATTAATCAGTTCTTTGCACCAGGATTATTTCTTGGGGATGGGTTGCACTGTTTGCACTTAACATAGTCAACGAGAGCCAAAGGACAACTTTTGCATTGAATGTATTATTTTTTGGCCAAAGAACCCCTCTACCCCACCTTGATTTTATAAGGCGTTAAATACTCTGTGTTCCTTCATCTGAAAACAACCATTTTATGAAAATGACCTACCACACAGCCTGAGGCTGACTAATCTGGAAATAAGCACCTGACACATGTCAAGCTAATAAAATTTTTCTGCAGGCATTATGAAACTGAACTTGTGAAAAATATTCAGAATAGGAAAATGAGTTGATCAAAGTAGAAAAATATCCAAATAGAATTGGGAGACAGAGTCTCACTATGTAGTCCAGGCTGATGAGGCTGAGTTTGAACTCACTATGTAGCCCAGAGTGGCCTTGAACTCACAGTGATCCTCCTGCCTCAGTTTCCCTAGTGCTGGATTACAGGTGTGCACCAGGACATCTGGCTCCACATTGCTTCTAAACCTACTTAGAGATATTTATTCATTGTAGTAATAAGGAAAAGACACATTTAGAACCACAATATGCTCACAATATGCAAAAATTAGAAAGGATGACACTATCATGTTGACAGAAATATGCACAATGGACAGAATAAGTTGGTTTAGCAGCTTTGGAAAAGAGCTCGGGGTCATCCTTCAAGAATCAAAGACACATGTAACCTAGTTATTCTAGTGACCTAGCTGTACACACTACAGAAACTCTTGGCCATGAGCACCAGAACATGGGTACAGAGATTTCATAAAGTGCTGTTGTACTCAAAGTGACTGCCCTCAGGTTTTCATTCTTCTTGCTTGAAATGTGGCTCTGTTGTGGGTGGGATCCAGTTCGTCGCCCACAGAACTCACTGTGTTCAAGGCTGGGTTGCTGATGCGCATTTGGGAAATGTCTAGGTCACGACGGCTCTAACTTCACCCATGGATCATTTCCCTGATTAAATCATAATTTGATGGCATTATTGAAAGGTGGTGGAAACAGGAGTTGGGGACCAGTTGAAGAAAGTGGACCATTGTGTGTGACCTTGGGGACTGTATCCAGTTGGCCTCTCTCTCTCTCTCCCCCTCTTCCTGGCTGCCATGAGGTGAGCACCTCATCTCTGCCATGCCTTTTTCTTTACGATGCTCGACCTCACCGTAGCCTAGAAACAATGAGGCCTGTGGACTATAAGCTGAAACCTCTGAAACCGTGAGCCAAAGTAAATCTTTACTTTTTTAAATGGTTTTTCTCAGATATATTGTCACAGTGATGGAAAACTAACACAGGGCTAACACAGAGTGTGTGTATACTTCCTTTGTGTGAGAAGTAAGAAACATTTCTCTTATTTAAGAAAACAACTAGAAATAATATATATACTTATATATACACATGGAGGGTACATTGTCAGGGATTCATATACACAGATGAAAAACTTTTAAATTAAAAAAAGAAATGATTATATTCACTCAAAAGATATGCCAGCAAGGGGAAACACTGAAGGGAAAGGGCCTCCTGAAAACTTCTGAAGAAAGGAAGGATTCAATTTATCTTGGTTTGATAGTGACTGCCTAGGTGTTTATTTTATAACTTTAAAAATAATAATTGTATTCATTTTATGCATGTATTTATGTATGTGTGTATATCTCTACGTATTTATATAAAATACTTCATAACACAACTATTTGAAGCCCCTGAGTGAGAGTGAAGGCCCGGGTCATGGGTTCTGTGCTCATGTGAGATAAAAAGGCACCAGGCCTTTTCCCTTGGCAACGTAGTGGATTTAAAAAAAAAATTAATTTTATTGGTAGATTTTAGGTATACAATATCATGACATTCATCATTGGAGATTTGCACCTTCACATAATCTCTCTTGGTTCTCATTTTTCGCCCCTCCCCTGCCCTCCCTTCAACCCCTCCATTCCACCCTATTTACAAAGACTTTGTTTCCATTTTTCCATTTTCTCATATTGATTCCATTCCCTGCTTTCCTTTCCCCTACCCCTCCAACTTCCCCTTCCCCTTTTGCCCTTTTCTTACTATTTCACATTATCTATTACACCTTTTAGTCCTTATTTACACTTTCAGTTCCTTACACTAGAGAAACTACTCTGTATTTACATGTGTGTCCTATTTATTTCACTTAAGAATATTGCCTCATTGTGCATCCATTTAGCTATAAATGTCTCTAGTTTCTCATTTTTGATGGCTGAGTAGTACTCCATTTTATAAAAAAAACACATTTTCTTTATCCAGTCTCCAGTCGATGGACAATTGGGCTGCTTCCAAGTTTTAGCCATTACAAATTGTGCTGCTATGAGCATGGGTGTACATATATCACTGTGGTATGATTCTTTTAATTCTTTGGGCAAGATACCTAGCAGGGGAATAGCTGGGTCAAATGGGACCTCTAGTCCTAGTACTTTGAGGTATCTCCATACTGATTTCCACAGTGGTTGCACCACTCTATGCTCCTACCAACAGTGGAGCAGGGTTCCTCTTTCCCCACAGCCCTGCCAGCATTTGTTATTGGTTGATTTCATGATAGCAGCCATTCTTTCTGGGA